TGGGAATGAGATTTGGAATGATAAGTTATCACCAAAGGCACTAAATAAGGTATGCGGGAATGTTCAAAAATAAACCTCTAACGTCTACGCACACATATCTCCAGCACTAATGGGCAGTTAGATACTCTCCCTCCCCCTTATCTACTCTTGACGGTATTCATCTATGAATGGAATTTTGAGTAGAAGAGCTACATGTAAAAACTTGGCAGAATACGATTGACGGACTTCAAGACAATAATTAGAATAAAATTAATAGTTTAATAACGTATAGTACCACTCTCTCTCTCTCTCCATCTTGTAGTTGATGTTTCAGAATTTGTTCAAGGGAAGGTGCTCATTGAAGTCGTTGCAATTAGTTACAAGGAGCCACGCCCACATGAAACAGATGAGGGAGATGATGTTAGCAGGTGTTGCGTTGAAGCTAAAGTTAGTAACATACTGTGTGATGTAATTATGATGTCATGAACTTTTAGATAAAAATAAAATTTTCTGTTGATAGTGTCAGTGCCTATATTGATTGCTCTTTTAGTCAAATTTTACAGGTCAATCAGGTACAAAATAAACTTTTAACTAATTTTATATTACAATGTATTTTAAAAAGTATTCAGGAGGTTGACTTGACCTTTGTGTGTTCCCGTGACCTTTTGACCTCTTAAACTGAAGCACATATCATGACCTATAGGATTGACCACACCCTCTCTCTGCCTCTCGGACTTTTTTGTATTCCAACAAAACCACAGGCTAGGCAGCGTAAGGTATATTAAACACGTAACATAAGTACAGTACATGTACATCAATATGCATCAGAAATGGAAATGGGGATTTGTGAGCCATTTTTATACATTGGTCCAATTTTTGAACACTTTTTAAAAATTTGTAAAAAATTTAAACTTCATTTAAATCAGAAAAATTGTAAAAATTATTTTTTTTCATTTTTGATGAAATTTGCAAAATTCCTGGTACAGGATGTTGGCCTCATTTTTGAGCAATTTTTAAAATTCATATAAAATCTAAACTTGATCGGAATCAGTTCAAACTTTGTACACAACATAGAAACATGTATTTGTATCAGGAACAATTATAAAATGGAGAATTCTCTCCTTTTCATTTTTGACAAAATTTTAGACAAAATCTCTGTACTAGAGTATGGGATGTTGCCCCCATTTTTGAGTAACTTAATAACCCACTGACAAGAAGCTGCAGGAACATTATGCCAGAAATTCCATGGGAATCCCTGCATATTACTAATGCCATGTCTTTCAAATCAAGTGTAGTAATGTACTATATTCATTTGTAATGTTCATTAACTTATAAACTAATAATGTATTGACTAAAAGGACACACCTACATATTATTATGATTGTTGTTGTTGTTATGATTATGAATGGCATGTCTTCTTTCTTTGGATCTGAAGATTATCCTTTCTAATCCTGGAATAAACGACAGTAATATAAGAGAGGAGAAATCCCAGTATTACATTGGTGCAGTGGGTACTCAATTTGGATCTTTTAGTCTACTTGCCGGTAAAACAAACTCACTTTGTTTCCGGCATATAATGGACCTTTTGCACTTAAGCGATTCT